GCGTTACCATGACAATGCGTTTATCCTTTTTTTGTGCTTTTTGTGGAGCTGATAGAAAAGGGAAGGTGAGGTCAAATAAAGCAGGGCGAAGAACAGAGCAGCGAGCTAATTAAGTCTGATTTAGGTGTGTGGAGGCGGAAAGGGGAGGGGGGGGGGGGGGGTGACACCCCAAGGACAGCACGGAGCGGCGTGGTTACAAGGAGAGAACAAGAAGCCCGGCTTCTATCCCAGCTTCACGGCTGCATTTAGTTACTCACGCGCTAAAGAAGTTCCGTACACGCTACGTACAAATGCTGTTACCTGTATGAAAATGAGTCGTAGCCTCGGTAACGATGCGCCGAAGCGAAGTCGTCCATGGGCAGCGTGCGAGCTACAATGTTGTCCGAGCTTGTGCGTTATTATTCTGGTGAAAAATCTCATACTCCACAGCCATCATTACCCCTGAGATTCCAGATGGATGAATCGCAATTATAAAACACTACACCAGTCGGCGATGATGCAAAGTAATGATTAATAAGTGTTTGAGGAAAAAAAAAAAAAAAAAGTGCCCCTTTGAAGTGTTTTTCATGAAAGGATCCAAGGGAGCGATCGGAGACAAAGTGAGTGAACTCAAATGGGACACAAAGGACAAGAGCAAAGTAAGAAACCATTATTTCTAGATTGAGCACCTTTTTACACCTGAGAAGATGAAGCACCTGGACGGGACCAAAAAATAAAAAATCGCAATAGGTTTAAAGAAGTAAATCCGTTAATGCCCGCCACTTGAGCCGTCATCAATCTCCCGTGTTCGTCTACCCGGAACCATTTCTCAAGCTAAACAATAACCGGATGCTTCGCTATTCGTATTTATCAGCGTGCGGAAGTTACAGATTTCAGGAGCCCTGCCTCCACATCCATCTTAAACTTGAGGGCAAATGAGGCAGAATCTTAGTGGAAATGAAGAAGCGGTGATTAGAGGGCAGAGCAACATCCATCACAGGCCGCTCTGTAGCTCGCATCTCCCCAATAATTCATCTCACTTTAGGGCCCGACAACAGAGAAGCAAAAAAGAAAAAGAAAAAAATGGATGTTTGCTCGAGTAGTGATGGGTTGCCCCGTAAACACAGCATTGTCTTACGTCCCTAATTAAGCCGGTTGGGAAATGGCACATCCTTCTCTAAAGAGACGGGGAGCCTCGCCACGTCTCAGGAGGAGAGACGGTACGGACATATAGAGAAAGATGAGGAGGAGAGATGACCTAGAGGAACAAATCCAACGCCCTCTTTCCCTCTATTGGCTTCAGGCCATGTGAAATATGAGTTTGCAGGCTCGTTACAACGGAAATCACACGAGCACACAGAAAAGCTCAAGTCGTCTCCGAGCCACAGGGAAACTCTAACAACCCAAACGCCAGTGATTCCCGCTGGCAGCGGCAACTAACACATCGCGAGAGCTCCACAATCACAGAAAGCCTTTTGTTGGAACGCACATTTGAAACATTTTGAACAAGGTGATTCACATGTGAAATGTGTGGCCACAAACCAAACCAAGATCTCGACATGCAGTATAATCAAAAGTATAAGCACATTGTTCCATAGTCAATTTGTATACTTCTTAACGAACGCTCATTTTAAATAAACTAATAAAAAGGTACAGATTGTAATTGAATAACTCGGGTGTTCAAAGCAATGAACTGCGCTCAGATTTTGAGACGTTACATAAGACAAAAAAAACGTGCTCACACGTGCATCTCATTTCCATTCACGTGGATCACAGACGTTTTGGAAAATCTGATTGCCATGATATGATCCCACTGGAAATATCAATTACAATATACCTATTAGTTCGATAATAAAGCACCTTGGTTTAAGGGTTGGGTTGTGCTGTTGTTTCATGGGAGCAACTATAACTTAATGAAGCAGCTCAACAATCCCTATAAGTATGCATTATAGTACAGCTTCACCACGGGGTGGGGGAGTTGGGGGGGGGGGGGTTCTGTCCGAGGGAGGCCGAGCGGACATATGCGAGGTATTTGGTGTTTGGCCACTGCCGCAGCACTCGCCAGCGAGTCCACTTGGCTCCAACGTCTGGCCGACGAGGTGTCGGGCAGGAGGGTCGGCCAGTGGGAAGAGGGGAGGCCAGATGGAACCATTCGGCCTCCATTTCAGTTGCCAGCATTTGGCGTAAAGCTCGTTGACGTCCAGATGAGCACTTCAGAATAGATAGGGACAGAAAAAATCATTCTCCCGTTGTATCTCCCCTCGCGTCGCTAACATCAGTTTATGCCCCCCTACCCCTATTTAGTCTTATTCAGGTTTATTTGTTCGGTACATACGTTAATGAAGAGACAACAAAACAAACAGACTGCGGCAGATGGGGGGGGGGGCGGACTCGCCGACCCGTCAGCTCGGCACATTTTCAGTCTCGCGTCTCGCTCGCTATCTCGCTCGCCGTCTCGCTGGGGGCCCGAGCAGCAGACGCGTCACGTCAGTCTGTCGCCTGATATTTGCACACAAACGCTAGCGCACGCGCTAAACCCCCCCCACCCCCCCTCTCCTCCTCCCCCCCCGCCGCGCCCTCGCTTTCACGATCGCCGAGAGATGAAAGCCGCCACAAACCAGACAGCTCGCTCTCCGGCGTCGAGTAATTCGGCTCCATACAGCTACGACACTCGGCGTTCTGATTCATTCCGTGTGGATGAATGCACGCAGGGGCTCTGCGCACAGATGGGCAGCGAGGCTTTAAAGAAAGTTATACGTGACGATTGGCAGTTCCAGAAAAGTTTAAAAGTTGAGGTTTATTGTTTATTTATTGTAACGTAAGGTACAGCCAAAGTCAAGGTGATTCCATATCTTGATAACAATGTATTATCTCACTGTTTTCTGGTAACTCAATGCATTTGTTTCAAATACAACTCAGCATAGTGTTTAAGTGAAATGATACGCAAAGATACAGTTATTAGAGGTATAGCAAGTCTTTCCAGCAGCACTGACTGCAGTGTTTTTTAATGCATGCACACAAAAATCAGATTCAGACTTGGAGGAGAGGTTTGCCACTTTAATTACAGTAGTTGGTTCATCTTGAGCTTTGGAGGCCTTTAGTGGGGATATTTCTCTGATATTTTGTTGCTGTTTATCTTGGCAGTAAATAGAAGATTGGTTCTGTCCTCTAACCACAGCAGTGTGTTTAGCATATACACAATGGTGTGGGTGGGTGGGACAAGGACATCAAATAGCAGTCCCCGGGGGCCCGACTCTGAGGTAATGAAATCGATAAGAGGAGAGTCACTCCAGTGACTCGTCCAATGCCAGCGGTTTATCCATCGGAGAGACAGTTTGCTTACGCAGCAGCGTCGCTGAGCTGATTCGAGCTGAAAAGAAACGCAGGAAGGCCTATTCTTGCTCCTCACATACAGGAGCCATCACCCGCAGCAGGGGAGTTTGCCATTAACCTGGGGGTCACATCTAAAAGCACTCGCGAAGCACCGCGGAGTTCCCAAATGTCCCGTCCCGTCATCGGCCGGCGGAGCGGATCCGTGGCGCTCGCTCCAGACGAGAAGCCGCTCTCTCACCACAGAACGGCGTCGTCAGCGCGAGTGAGAAAACAGGGCTCTTCTCACGTCAGAGAGGGGCGAGACGAGGTGACAGGTTGAACAAAGCGCTGCATGACTTTTTTTATTTTTTTCCTCACACGTTGAATGAGCGGCTGAGCTGTGGGAGGCTGATAAACAAGCGAAAGAGGTCTAATGGGTTTAAAGTGTGGAGCGACGCCGGCTGTAATAACTCGGCGACATCTTTTTCTTTTCATTATATGACAAATTTTTGAGCACTTTCTTCCACGGGACACGCTGACAATTATTTTATTCGCATAACAAAACAATTTAACAGTCTTTATTTCACCTTTTGGGGCATTTTAGTGATTTTTGTGGTTTCCTTGATACCAGAACGATCCAAATTGACTCTTTGAGGTTCCGAGGGTTGAATGATGTTGGTCTCGTACTAACTGTAAGCGCCACGTGCTGCGCGGTGTTTACAGGCCAGCTCACCGGTTAACACAAGCAGAACTTGCACGTGCCAAAACACACACACACACACACACACAGAGGCAGCAGCAGCAGCTGTCTGGAGAGCTGCAGCTCATTACCGTGGAACCTGAGGCTTAAAGTGGCGCGAGGAGTTTCCCAGTGAGAGATTGAGGGGCGAGCCGTGGCTCTGAAAACATCCAGCCGAGCTTCTGATACAGCTCCGCTTTAACATGATCAAAGGTTCATCTCCTCACACCTCTTTTCATTCATAGAGCAACGACTACAAGACCCCACGAATCCAATTGGGGCCGAGTGGGACGCGCCGTCGGGTTACCAAACCCCCCCCCGGGGCTTGGGAAGCTCGGACGGGATCGGGCAAACAAAAAAACCCCCGGGTGAACAGACTCGATTCACTCAACACTCCGCACCAGCATAGTTTAAAGGAAGTGAGATCACCGACAGAGCCGCTCTCCCCCCGTGACGAGATGAAGTGGGGGGTGAGGGTGGGTGGTGTGGGTGTGGGTGTGGGGGGGGCATGAACCTGCCAGATGTAGCCCAAACTGGAGCTGCACTTTCTCTACGGCAACCTTCCCCCCTCCCTCTGCTCTCTCTCTTCTCTCTTTCCCATGTTCCCTCCCCTCCGTCTCTCTCTCTCTCTCTCTCTCTCTCTCTCCCTCTGTCTACACACACTCTGATGCACACACGCAGTAAACAGGAGAAAGCCACAGAGAAGAACTGCGCGGGCACCATGGAGATATTCTGCCGCTGAGGCGTCCGGTCCAGCCGCTTTGCGCGCGCGCGCGGGTGTGTGTGTGTGTGTTTGCGTGCGTGTGTGTGTGTGTGCATGTGTGTGTGCATGTGTGCGTGCGTGCGCGGGTGAGTAAGTGAGACCCCCTGCCGACGCCCGTGCGGGGGGACAGAGAGGAGAACGGGTGGAGAGGAGAAGAAAGGGGGGAGTGTTGACTCTGACTGGGGGGGGCTTAGAGGAAACACCCCGTCGGCTGCGCCCCCTCGCTAAACCCCCGCCACTGGATCAGAGGACGCCGATGTGCAACAACTACTCCAACTTCTGCCATGGCGGAGCCCCCCTCCTCCGGCTCGCCTCACACCCACTGAGGACACGGGGCATGCATGGGCGACGCCAGGGATCCAGGCTCACGCATCCTCTACGTCAGTGATTCGCGGTCTGAGGTGAGTCGCTCTCCTCCGCTCCTCCGTGTCACCTCTCAGTCCGCGGCCGCCGAGTCGGATCAAATAACCTCTGGAGGTGGGAAATGCGAGGGAGGCGCTGAGCCCCCCCCCCCCCGGGATTATCCACAGGGACGTTTTTTCTGCCGGAGATTTTCCCTTTTGGACGGCTGAGTGAATTTGGAGTGCGTGCGGCAGATGAAAGGAGGTAAATGTCTGGTGGTTCCGAGTCCGGCTCAGTCGCCTCTGACGAGGAGATGGGGAGGGGCCAGAGGGGGGTGGGGGGGACGTGGTTCTGGGGAGGTTTGCCGTGGTCGGCCGTGGAATGTGTTGGCGGTGACTTTGTGAGAGCAGGTCAGTCAGTTCAGAAAACTTTAAAGATAAAAAAAAAATGTTTACAAAAAACCATGGGGAACTCGCTGCCAACTGTTAGACGACATTAAGCAGAGCCGGCGGGCCGGTTCTCAGAGGCTTTCCGTCCAGATGTAGAACCCGACTGGCTCCGCACACAAAGCTGAAAACGGGGCTTGGTTACGAGCTCTTGCATGATGCTGCGTTTTCCTCCCAGTCTTGCAGGTTACATAAACCACGCTGGCATCCAAACCAAAAAGGGCAATTGCAGAGGTCTTGCGTGAAGCGGCCGTCCCACGTAGGCGGACGGAGGCAGCAAAGCGGAATAAGGAATGAGAGCTGATGAAGGACCTTATTGGAGAGTAATCTAGATTAATGGACTGGGTGAAGAAGTCGTAAAACTGGAGCAGGTGTGTGTCAAGAATGTGGGTCGTCTTGAACCCTCGCACCTCGCACCGTCACTCAAGGCGCATGTCACTCCCACTCGTCACCCCCCCCCCCCCCCCCCGCTCCCCCTTCTGCCATCGCTCTGTCTCCCCTTCAACCGTATCTCACACCAAGGCTCTGATACGATCTCCCCTCTGCTCCATTTCACTTTGTGCAGACAGCGCAGAGAGGACTGAGGGGATGATAGATAAAGAAGGGGGTGGGGAGGGGGGGGGGGGTCTTTGAGAAGTAATAGAGACAGTCTGGCAGCAGAGGATATTGACATTTTTTCCTTTTTACAAATTAAGGGTATTACGCGCCGGCACCCGAGAGTGACGGCAGTTGAGGTGAATCGCGTGCGTCTGTCGTAGAGGAAGGGAAACAAGATCCCCGCCTGGGTGATGTTGTTGTCTGTGCGCGCTGGTGTGTGTGTGTGTGTGTGTGTGTGTGTGAGAAAGATGCGTTCCCTCAGTAGGGGCCCAGTCAGCTAAGGGCCCCGATGTGGCGTCGGAAGCAGAGCGGAAACCAGACGGGAGTTTTCTTTGCTATAGGGAAGAAGTAAATTTTAGGTAACCATACTTTTTACTCCCATATTTCTAGCGTCCCAACTGACAATTATTTTCATTTCAATGAATGCTTTTGTCTTTGTCTTGTCTGACCCCGTTGAAATTTCTTCCAAACCACACAGACATTCAATTTCCAATTACTTGATACATCACAATACATTACCGATAAATTATGTCAAGTAACTTTCTGCATTTCAACTGATCGTTCCAGCACTGATTAATTGTGGCTCGAGGCTCAGAGAAATGATTGATGGAGGTTTTTCCCGTCACATTTAATTCTGCTGCAACCAAACTACATCTAAACCCATGCAGCTGTTTATTCTAGTATTTTCCTCTGGTCTATCGCCGTGCGTAGTAGTGTGCGTTGCTTTTGTTGTTGTTGTGTGTCTCTGCCGGGGACGGCTACAAAGCATCAGAGAGCAGCAGAGGGAGTTCTGTAGTTACCCGCCGGCTTTGAAACCTCGGCAAGTCTGGAAGGCAAAGAGACGGAAAGACACCGAGCGAGAAAGCAACAAAAAGGGAAGAGAGTGAGATGAGGAGAAAAAAGAAAGAAAAAAATGAAAAAACACGTAACGTTCATCAGAAAAAGACAAAGAGGAGAGGAAGGGGGAGAGCGATCCGACGCATTCTGATTAGAACAGGCGGCCGCATGCAGTCCCTTCTCAGGGTCTCATCTCCATCCAAACCCGCATGTCAGTAGACGTATGAATTACAGGCTTCCTGTGAATTCGCGAGGAGCCACCTGGGTGCAGGCGTCGCACGAGAAGAGCCGAACGACTACAGAGACAAACGAAAGAAGGGTGTATATATATATAAGTGAAAATAACGAGGCAACGGTGTCCGTAGGGCTGGAGTGAAAGGACAAGACGGTGGTCATTTCTAGCAACGTGCACAGCGGGAGGCAAACGGATGACGTGCACGGCACACACTATCAGGCTCAATGAGAGGCCGGCAAGTCTCGTTCTGTAACTGCAGTATCTGATGCAGTCCCTCACACACACACACACACACACACACATTTTTGTGTGCAAGCTACAAGTGCCCGACTGAAAGCGCTTGAAATGAAATGCAATATGAATATCAAATGTGGATGTTTTTGCAACGCACACGTGGCTTTTCAATAAATGCAGAGCATGTGGGGGAAATGTGCCATTAACAGCTGTACGAGACTCCTGACATTAAAAGGAACCCTAACTTAATTTATATATTCATAGCTACTGCGATGCCACATTAAACCACAAATGGAACAGCAGAGCTTAACAACGGCCGCATTAGTGCTGAAAGATGAATTTGGCCTCATCGTCCATGAGCTTTGTCAAGCAGTTTACGGATCAATAGCCGGTTTCATTCAAAGCCAACCTGCTATTGCTGCATCTGTATGCGATCGGAAATGTATCTGACCCCAATACACAGAAGCACGCTGATGATTCCGCAGTGGAATCACAATGGTATTAAAATGTCAGCTATCCTGGACGTGTGCGCCTTCTCCTCCGTTTATAATTGGCAACTTTCATAGCAGCGCGCTCGACTGAAAATATGCTCATGTGTTATTTAGTCGTTTCCCGCGAAACAACATCATTATTCCGAGTGAAACCTTTGCAATGGCGCTTGGCAACAGCACAGTGGCCCGCGATGACTGAGCAACAATTACCAGGAAGACAATCCCCTTAAAATCCTGTGTTTTCCAGTGCTGCTCCATCTTACAGCATTAAGCTGCAATGACAAAGGATTTGCTGCGTTTTGGTGTCGGCCTAACGCACTGTACTGCCGCTATCCCTCAACGCTGACCTGCACAGTCAATCACTCGGCTATATAAACCCCTCGCATCGCCCCCTTCCATGCTGCAACACACTAACAACAAAAAACACACACACACACATTTAAATGCATATTCAGTGTGCTCTTCAGACGGCGATCAAGGGCTTCTTAAAACACCACTAAGCCCCGTGTAATAATGGAGAGAGAAAAGGGGGTGAAACCAAAACACGAGTAGATAACGCTGGATTACGGGCAGAGTTTGGAACTTCGGCGGCGGCCGGCCGGCGATGACGCCGCCACACTCATTTGTTCAAGCGGCATCTGAAGCCGCGCTGAGCTGTAATGTAAAACTGCAGCGGTAGGAGGGCCGCTTTTCCTTTTTTTCGGTGATCATGCAGCACAATGGCAGACTTCAAGCTCACTTTGTCAGTAATTGGAAGTCCAAAGCTGGCTGCGTGTAGTTCCATTTACGGGTTTTTTTCAGTAAACTAGAATTGCTGCCACCATCGTGTTATTGCAGAAAACGTCAGGGCCTTAATTCTTTTATCCTTTTAGACATTTGTGTGAAATCCCCCGCAATTAACATATAAATTCTCGAGTTATGGCCACGTTTTATGAGGTCGCAGTGAGTGACCTTTAGCCACCACATTCTAATCAGTTCAACCTTAAATGCAAGTGGACTTTGGTGGCGAATGTAAAGAAATTAGCTCAAGGCATTACCGATTTATCACGGGAACAGGACAAACGTGAGGTCACAGTGACCTAAAGAGAGATCCTGTTCACTGGAATGCTTCCACACTTCCACACCGCGCAGGTCAAGTGTTGACAACGCTTCAGCGAGGTTGGGTGATGGAATCCGGCTCACAGACACAGGGATAGAGTTGGACACACACAACAGTTTTTTACTGCAATATTATTTGTTCCAAGCTTAAACATCAAATGTTCACGTTTTGTGGGTAAAACATCAAGATAATGTCAAAAGAAAACACAGCAACATTTATGCATCGAACACAGTTAAATGCATTAACAAGGAGGGCCGTTTAGGCCGGCGTTGCCAATTGACATGTATAGCGATATTTCCAGTATTTAATCAATTACCGGATTTTCTGAAGCGTACTATATTAATGAATTTTCCTATCCGCAGAGCAGAAGTTAGACAACAAAGATTAGTCGAGCTCAACCGCACGGTAAACATTCAATCCCCAGGTAGAATGAGAACACTGAAATTTCCCCCTTCTATGATTTCACCCCCGGCAACCAAAGTTTAATTAGGAAACTGCCATTCACAAAGCTGCCGACTCATATGCGGTTTAAAATAATGCAAGAAATGGGAAACCCGTTTTATATTCAAGGCAAGGTGTTGCATCAAATGAGCGTAAAGACCATTTCCATTAAGAAAAATGAATTGCATTTCTACAGTACTCTGTGGGTTGTCGTCGCATCGCTCCAAAGTAAAAAAAAAAAGTCTGAAATAGCAGAGAAAATCCTCCCAAGAACCATCTCTAGTGGCCAAAATTCACTTGCGTCCCTAGAAATAACCGGCCCTCTAAAGCAAGGTCAGTTGTGAACATGTCAGTTGTCACAGCCTTGCACAATGAGTCATGCTGATTATGCAAGAAGGGGGATGAAGGGGGGGACACATCGCGCAGCCTGCAGGGCGGTCGTGTCGTAAGGGATCAAATCTAAATGAGGATGTGATACAATACCATCAAAGTGTAGGCATGTGTGTGTGTGTTCATTGTCGCCGTTTGTCCTGACAAGACACATTTCCGCCTCAACATCTGATGGATCGGCGCAGGATGGCATGTTGAATTGTAAACAGATATCATTTTGCACATATTGAATATAAATGTTTAATTTGGGCCCAGCTTACAACAAAGACATGTTCACTGACCTTATTGGGAGAGGAGATGTGGGGCTACAGTTTAATCTCTTTTTCAAAATGTCATCCGTTGAACAAACATGGACACCGACGGCGATGGACCAGGAGAGCACTGCCAGGCCGGCGAATAGATGATAATCGGGGAATAAGCGGCGTGCGCTGTCAAACATTGCTAAGAAGGTGGGAAGGGGCTTGGAGGACTGAAATGATCCAAATGCTGCCCAGCTGGGGGGGGGGGATAATTGGGAAATTGATGCATTGGATTATGCTACATGCAGCCACGATTCCTCCCTCTTGACGTCAAAGAAATGTTAATTCAACACAAGGTCGAGATGTTTGCAGTTGATGATAACACAGTGAGCTCCTCTGGCATTTCCTTGTGCCTGAATGCACGGGCTTGAGGCGGTGCTTCTCACCACTTTAAATATATTGTATTTTAGTGAATTTTTACTCCATGACGCTAGGTACGCATGCACCGCAGTGAAATAAAAGGTGGATATTCTCTGGGCTGTAGTTGCCAAAAGCATTCTACAGCAGGACTCCCTGGTCATATGGACCCATTGGTTAATACCTGTCTGCTGAAAATGAAACAAACATCTCCCTGCACAGCAGAAAGCTGTCATCTCTTCTCAGAATCGGCTTCCGCTGACATTACTGGGCAATGATTAGACAGTTTCACGGGAGCACAGTCGGCATTGCTGGGCCCATTAACCGCTGCATGTTTCGAACATGGGTTCCTTAAGACAGGACCTTTGCAAATGGACTGCCAATGACCATGAGACTCTCCGTATCTGGCACGCTCCGATAGTTACGTGTGATGAACCGACAAAACATTATTCACGGCAAAAGCTCTTCTAGTTTTGTGATAGAAAAACTGCGAAGCGAGAACATCATACTATTAGATCTGCCTGCACTGGGAATGCAAGGTTTTGGATTCCTTCCACAGTAAGCAGATCAGAATAAAAAGGACTAAATTATGGTTGTTGGTTGTGATAATCACACATCTGAATCAGCCTCTACATGAGCGCGTTTGCTTCTTGTAAATCAGCAGGCAGAAGGAGTTATATTTCTGTCAGAGCAGCAGAGGGCAGGTTGTGACATTGTACCTTTAGCAGTGGGGAAGGACATTCCTTATCTCTTATTCACGTTTCTGCTTTGTTGCAAAGTTCTCAAAAGTTGTTCGCAGGCACCACCTTCATCGGGATGCTCACTTGTCTTGAAAATGGAAAATGAACACAGCCCAAACGTTTATTCTCGTATATTCTAGATGAGTGAAAATGTTATTTGTACTTACAAACAATAATTAAGAGGGAAAGGTCGGAAAGTGAAGAAGTCTGCTTAACCTAATGGGCCAGAGAGACAAACTGAGAGCAGACCTCAGGCGCAGTCGAAGGAGAAGTCCACTGCTGCTTTTGATGCCTGTAGTGCGTTTGAGTGCGTGACAGTGTGCATGATTGCCTTTGACTGATCGCTCCCATACAAACACTCATCAACGTAGAGAAGTGGGAGAGGGGGAACTGGTGGTCAAAGCTGCTTTAACTAGAAAAGATAAACTGAAAATTGCACTTCATGTGGAGTTTTGGGTGTTTTAGATTAAATGTAGGGATTTTTTAGGGAAGTTCCTCAGTAAATAAACGAAGACGGATGGGCACGCATGCACAAACCCCTGCCAATTGGCATCAAAGCGGTTTTCAAGGATAAATACATGTTAGTTAATCAACAATCATCAACCCTGTTACTCATTTATCATCCGGGGTGGAACTTATATTGAATGGATCTCCTCCTTTAAAATTCATATTTGGGATGCTTTTTGGCATTCATACACAAAAATGTCAATTAAAAGCACTTGAATGACTACCTCCCTCCCTACCCAAGCGCAGTGAGCGGGTGGGTTCTGTCAAGCAGGATGTAACAATGAGGCAGGGTCTTTGCCCTGAGCTTTTCATTACTGATGATTAACACAGCGTCTCTCTCCGTGCCTCTCAGGAAACATGGTGAGCAAGGAGGGCGGCAAATGCATGCTCACCAACTCAGAGTCTGACTCGGAGGCAGCGCCCCTGCCCTCCACCTCGCTGGCGCTGGAGGTGAAGTATTCCCTGGAAGCCAGTCGACAGGTGAGGAAGAGAAACAAGGCCCTGCAAGTGCGTTTCAAGGATATCTGCGAGGCACAGAACGAGCAGAGGGAGGCGGAGCTGCAGGCGGCAGGGAAAGGCGGCAAGCCCATCTCCTACAAGGTGGCGTACCGCAAGTACATGACCGTCCCCGCCCGCCGCTCCATCCCGAACGTCACGAGGAGCACGGGCGTGCAGACCTCCCCCGATCTGAAGAAACGCTACCAGACCTTTCCCTTTGAGCGCAAAAAGGGCCACACCTTTAAGCACGTGGCGGCCGTGGAAACGTACAGAGGTCAGAATAACGGCTTTGTCATGGAGGTGAAGCAGCCCGTGGCTGCCGTGCAGGGTTTAGATGAGGAGGAGGAGGAGGAGGGAGCCTGCGGTGGGAGTGGAGTCCGGAGGACCAGGGCTCTGCTCCATACTAATGAGTGCATCGCCACAGTGGAGCAGCACACTGCACCTGATGGCCTGTGCTCTGACGCGCTGCAGCTCAGTTGCTCCGCAGACACGGAGCGCCTCGCAGGCACGCAGAGAGGAGGCGGAGCCGGAGCGCGGGACGAGTACCAGCTCTGCGGCGTCCCATCCAAAGCCAGGACAGGATTACAACGCGGGGAGGCCGACGCGGACCGCTCGGCCAAGAGGCAGCTGCTCAACCTGGAGGCGGGCTCGTCCCGGACCCTGCCGGACAGGGCCTCCAAGGTTACGGGCCCCATCGCCTGGAACTCCCTCACGCAGGTGGAGTGCTTGGACAGCCCGTCGGTGCGCAGCAAGCGGAAGAAAGCGCTGCAGCTCAACGGGCTGCAGAGTGAGACGCTACCACGTTCCGGCGGAGGCTGCACAACGCAGGCACAGTGCCACACGGGACAGCTGTCTGCCCGGCCTCTGCGGGGCATGGACGAGCCCCTGGCACCGTGTGGAGGGGACGAGGTTGGCGGAGCGGCGTCCGACCAAACACAGGAGGCCTGCAAGCAAATAGTGCCTATGAAACAGGACGGGGAGGTTAAAGCACAGCTGCAGGCAATGGAAAATCTCATCAGCTCCAGCCAAGAGACCATCAAGGTGCTGCTGGGGGTCATCCAGGAGCTGGAGAAGGGGGAGGCCCACAGAGAAGGGTAAGACACCCCACTTACAGCCAATGCTTTACACTAAATATGCACAAAATGACTTACTTTGTCCTCCCGATACTGTTAGCAATGTTTCAGTTAGATATCCTGCCAATATCGAGCATCAATCCTTTCTCGTTTAAAAAAATCAATATAACTAATCTGCTTTTGAAACACATTTCAAACGGAGATTGTTGTACCATGACAGAAACACTTAATTTCCGAACATTTAGTAAAGAAACTAATGGATCAGTCAGTTAATGGCGGATACCAAACCTTAATGTGGTGAGTATCAGTGCTGTTACTGATCTAGTGAATTGTATTGGTGCACCCCAACTTCACAGTGGTGGGGAGGGGGAAACATCCCGCACACACCAGATATGGAAAATTCATGATTCAGCGTGAGCAGAAAAGGGGTCCTATTGATGTGTCACATTATTTCTGGGTGTTAAAGATTGCGTGTGTGACAGCTGTCCAGCAGAGCTGTAGCTGATGAACCCAGCAAAAGGAGACCATGCAGCTGGGATGACGTGGCATTCAGGCACTCGCAATTCCCTCCCCCACCAGGCACGACGGCCCTGCAGCAGACTCTGTTCAGACGACTCATCCCACCCAATTTGGGCCGAGTTGCTTGATGACCCGTCACGTGTGACAGACTCGCTGTTTTGTAAATGGCACCAATTCCGACACGGAAAATAATGTATGTGAAATCAGGATTTGAATTGAAGACGCTGCATCACCCGTTGGTTTCCTTCCGTAAAAGAAATAAGAATACTGAATTTAATTATCATGGTGAAAAAAAAATCTACTGTAAGGAGGAAATCGAATCATAAGGACACACATAATACGAAAAAACGGCGTTCAAAGTCCACGGCCTTCAAAAAAGCCATAGCCTGTGAAAAAGTAATTTACTGTCCAATGGATACTGGCTACATACAAAAGGGCTGTAGATATCATCTAGACCACTGAAAAAGGAGGATTGTCTATCCAAAGGGACGAGGCAAATAAAATGGCCAATTTCTTGAGTGAATTGCTGGGCCTTTGCACTCAGATCTCTATCTGTTTGCACCCGCAGTGTGTGAGAAAATCCATATAATCCACATCATAGCAACCTGGCCCCCGGGAACCTGTGGGAATAACCACGGACACACCTGCCAAGCTTACATCCCTCCAAACACAAATACGTTTTAAGTGTATGAAAGCCACCCTCAATGTCAACGCGGCTGAACAACATTTTGTGACTCGGTTCAAAGCAAGGAGCAGTTTGCACACAACAGACGGGACTGTACGCCGTCTAAAAAGGGAAATTATCATTTTAAACAATCTTTCACGAGGCCGCCTCAATCTCCTTATCCCGGAACTCGTAACAGTGTAAAAGCGAAGAAAGTAAGGGCAGATGTGGCGCAGCATAAGGAGCCATCTTCTCTGGTGTTGCCAAGCACATCTGGTTTATCAGATGTGTCTAAACTGGCAGGTGGGAGAGAAGAAAACAGGGAAGAGAGGAGAGACTTAAATAAAAATTAGCAATTACGGTCCAATGGTGCCATCTGGTCACATACACAAAGAAACAATCACATCTTTTCATACTTTAATGAAGGGGGGAAAAAAGCCTACATTCGGTTTAAGTCATGGAGCAGTGTAAGCCTCTGGTAATCCATCTGAGCCTTTCCTTTCCTTATAAGCACGGTCGCCGGCTTCTTCCTGTACACGTTTCCATTTTTTTGTAATCATCCAAGCAGAACAAAATCTAATGCTGCTTTAGTCACACTGCATTAGCTCCGTGCTCCCCTTACATAAATGTCATTGACACAACAAACAGGAGTGTCCCGGGGCTTTAGGTGAACTGTTTACGTTTAATTATCCGATGTATAACTGCTTATTTTGTATGACGTTCGTTCTCCATGAGAGGAGATGAGTGACCCCGCGCGTTCATCACTACGCACGTGCTCACAACAGGCTGCTCGGACACAAGTTCAGCGCCTAACGAGCCGAGTCCAATAAAAACGACGCGAATCCCTCTGACACTGCCGAGGCGCAATAACAGGGTCTGCCATTGGCCGCCTCGGTCGAGGTGTACCTTTACTTGATTTTGTACATCGTTTCTCACCTCTTGTGCGAATGATTCCAATGGAATTCAAAATGCCCACGAATGCAACTCACCAGACTCTCGCAGTCACTTCAATGCATAAAAGAAAAGGCACTTACCGACCGCTTGCACCCAACGCGCAATCCCCGCACTTTGCTACTCAACGGGAAAACAAGCAGGTGAAAGAAAAGCATGCGAGAGGGACAACAAGGGGGAGGGGGAGGGGGGCTTGGTTATGTATTATTCAAAACTTTATAGATCGCAGCAGCAGCAGCTCTAACCAAGCCGCTGAGGGAACAAAGGGGATTTAGGCGAAAAATCGACTTGCCCCTCATGTCACCCGCACACCACGCACGCAACCGCTCGATGGCATGTATCCCTCAGGTACGGCCCACAGCCCCCCGCGAGCGAGGGCCATGCACTTCCTAAGTAGCGGATGCATGCGCATCCCACCTTGGGGAGACCTCGCCTAGCAGAACATGGGAGTGTAGGGCGGATAAATGCTGTCAATGGCACTTTGGGTCTTTGCTCACTTCAGGGGACGATTGCCTTGTTTTCTCTTGTCAACTCAGTGATGGCCCGAGGAATAAATAGAGAGAACCGAATAACGACAGCCTCAAACCACCCTTCCCCCCCCACCCTCCCGTCTTCCCTGACTCTCCCCATCAGCCCATCAGGCAACAGACGGCCTTAAATAACAATATTAATATCGACGCCTCTCGGTTACCTGTCAGCGCCTTTAGCACAGAAGCGGGGTGAGATGAGGAAAGAATATTTATGATGGCCTCTTTTCGTTCTTTATTGGTGCCAGACCTTATGGGCAGTGTGACCAGAGTCCTTGAGGGAGACGTGAGAAATGTCTCTGCTACATCTCACAGATACGTTCACTTGGGAATGCCTGGCTCGTGACAGTTTGACCGATGAAAATAAAGAGCACAATGTTTTCTGCCTTAACCAAAAGACAAAGGCTCAATCATTACTGCAAATAACTCAAAGGTACAGCTGTACCGGGTCTACTAGATGAATTGTGGGTTGCTGCCGAAGTGCACGTTATAAAAAACTGGAGAGAATGTCCTTCTTCTCCGTGTCACAGGCAATGTGAGTCCCGAGTACTTCTATTGTAATATTGCATTAATGATAAGAGGAAACTATGGCGGTCGATCAATATGCACATTACGACGCTGATCCAATAAGACAACCTTGTAAGCCAGTACTTTCATTTAGGGCCGTCACCTGGTCTTCAGCTGGCCCCCCGAGGAATAAGAATCTATAATGGCAAGTCTGTTCATGACCATCTTCTATCTCGGAGGAAACTGATAATAGAACGATACAGGGAAACACAGGATATAATGTAATAGGATATTGATAGGATCGAATGGGAATTCGAGGGAATCGATATTGCAGGGAAATGAAGACGGGCTGGCTGTATGAAGCTAAAGAAAAATGTGTGTCTGGTGAGCCATCTCGTTTCCATTTTGTTTTTTTTCCCATAATGAAAGGCCCCAAACTATGTTCAACACAAGGAAAACTGTTTACGAACACATATTTTACTGAATGGATTAATCAAGGCTGAGTTTCTTGATATAAAGAAAAGCAGATAGAACAAGTAATACCTCTCATATTTTATTTACAAGGCCATGGCCAGTTATTAATCAATAGAGAAACTAATAATTATTTACAATCCGACCTTAGTATTATAGGAGAATATTTGCAATTATTAAGTTTTGTATAGTAGCGGTAGAAATAACTTTTCTCTTTCACCTTTGACATATTCGTATCGCATCAGAAAAGATGTACGGAAGCAGCTACAATTCATTAAAACGTCATCAATTTCAAAAGAGTAGTTTCCACCCTCGCCTGAGGTGGTTTCAGCCTTCGTTGAAAAAGAGTTGATGCGCGAAATGGATTGCGGGAACGCCTTTGCTAAATAAACTGACTTTGGAGCATTTAGCCCCCCAGAACTAATCGACTGTCTCGGCCGCTCCCATCATTTTGGTCGTGCTTAAGTCGACGTGAAAGAACCATTTAAACTTGCAGATGAATGAAAAACAAAAACGCTGCTCATGTTTTCCTCTTGTTGTCCAACACGTGTCCCGTACAGCCGCTGATATGAAGGCGGGACCCCCCCAGCGGGCCGCCGTCCCGCGTCTAGTCTAACATGAGGACATATAACGGTCGCGTGTCTGCAGCAGGAACAGCAGCGCAGGAACTCTGCCTTATCTGACCTCTAAATCGGTCGACCGCAGCCATCGGCCGCCGCCGCCGCGCTCTTGCTGCCCTCGCCGCCGGACCCCTCGTTCACACGGGCCCCCCCCCCCCCCCCCGGGCTGACGGTTTGGGTGACTAACAAGACGAGAGGGAGCAGCCTAACGAGCCCCATTGCTACTCATTCACGACTCTTATCTTCCCCGCAGACTCACCTATCGAACGGGACAGGACACGGCCAACTGCGACACGTGCCGGAACAGCGCTTGCATTATTTACAGGTGAGCGGCCATTCCTCTTCAGAGACACGATGATCTAAATGTGCCATGTCTTTTTCTCCTCGAGGGGGGACGGGGAACGGGGGGTACGGGCGAGTGAACCAGGGGATGCAAGACTAATGTGGATGCTGTTAATCTGCACATGGGGGACGTGTGATTCTCTCTCTCTCTCTCCATGAATCACTGTCTGATTCACCCGTTGTCCCTTCGCTCACTGTGTGCCTACCAGGTGCAGGGCCTGCTGGTTTAGCGATAAAGAGCGCGAGGTCTGAAAAGCAGGGAGGACAACGGTGAAATGAATCATCGTCGGCGTACTTTCCAATGTAGTTGAGGTTGATTCGACAAACCGGTACGGACGTGACTCCAAAGTCGTTTGTCTGCCAGGGAACAAGGTTTTGCTTCATGAAGGTTTGCACATCCGTAGATACTTGACGCATCAATTAGCCGGTCGGCAGATAAATGGCAGCAATTTAGCGATTTATTCCAGCGGTGTATGACAAAAGATGTCTGGTTCCAGCTTTTCACATGATACAAGTTCGGACTATATCTCATAGCTCAGCCTATCGTGACAGGTTTGCAGATCTTTTTTGATCATAATCCAACAAATTGGCGATTACCACATGTGGAGTGAGAGAAGACATTTAAAGAATGGCAGGGTGAGGGGGTGATACTACTATCCCAACCATTCGGCTTTTGCCGTGTCAAATCATTTCTAAATCTACTAGCTCTCCATAACCGATACGCCTCGGGCCAAACCGCAATCAGCTCTTGACCAAATGGAGGAGAGCGGCCCGGCTCCGCTGCCTCCGATGAGCCGAGCGGGAGTGCGCAGGAATCGCAGCAGGAGGCCCGCGTGGCCCACGGGCCGGAACACAAGAACACACTCGCTTTAGTGACAAATCCAGTGGTAGCACGATGAGGTGAGGGGAGGGGGAGAGTTTCAGGATGGATGACACAGGACAGGCGGCTGAGACGGAAGCTCGCCTGGTGTTATAAATTAGCCGGCACCATGTTTAATGGCAAGTCTGCTGGATTTGGCCCGGAGGGGAGGAGAGAGAGGGTGCCCCCGCTCTCTTTGATCTACATATATCCCCCCTCCCCCTCCTTCTCCCGCTCCGCTCTGCCCGCCTGAGTAAAGACCAACTGTGCTCGCCCCGATGTGGCAGCCTCCGCAGACGCCAGAGACGTCCGCTAACCGCCCCCCTGAATCGGTGAGCACAAACCGCAGTGTGATAACGCTCGGAGCAATCCATTCTACGGCTCTCTTTGTCAAGATAACCTGGGCGGCTCAGGGTGTTCCTATACTCATCAGTGATGTGGTGGGGAAGGTGCTTCATTCATAGATCGCCACGACTTGAGCGGTGCACGTTTGAATGAGCCAGTTAAACATAAATTACGTGCCGGCTCGTCTCATCGAGTTGTTCTTTCTCCCTGTGCCCGTCGTCCTCAGAGGGGAACGGATATATAATATAGTGACGTCATGGACAAAGTGAGGTCACGTGTTCACCTCAGGGCTGATCGTTCGCACCCACCGACAGCGGCCTTCAAACAAGCGCTACATTGACATCAAAACACCACATTTGGCTTCCTAGCAGCGCCACGATCAATTGAAACACTTCATCTTCGGAAAGGAAATGCGGGAAAACAGAAACTCGATACCAAACGGAGTGTTTTTGATGGAGCTCGTCTGTGCTTGGTAACGTTCGAACTCGATAAAAGGGCAGAGTTTCTAAGTGAGATGTTTGACATGCGTTAAATTGACAAGGGTTCTCCTTTAAAGACTCGCTCGGCATGCGAAATTCTGTTGATTGGATACAGAATAAAATATAGCAGTTTTATTCACGCGGGCAGGAGGATTAAAGAAAATATCGAATGACTTCTCCATGAAAACAACCTCTGGAGGTGGAGGAATGCAGGACAGAAAGCAGAGCTGTGCAGCCGTCTCTGATGCCAATTATTGTACGTTCGTGTCATCGCGTCGTGGCCAAACCAGCACAAAAAAAGCAGGACCAACCTGAACGTAAACCTGCATAGTTTCTCTCTATAGTCTCGTGACCCGACTGGACGTATGGGTCCATAAATCACTCAGTGAGAGGTGACCGCCCTGCACTCTTCAATATTATCAATTTATCCAGGCGTACATGGCATCATCATGGCGACCGCGTTGGCTCAATACCGAGCCGTGGACTATAGACATCAAACAGAAGACACCAAATGTCTCTTGTCCTTGTCCAGTCCCACGTCCCTCATTCGGAACCATGGTGAGCCTCCAAATACGTTATCTCCTAACGGCTCAAATGAACTTGGGGATTCGACGATTAAACACAACGCGGACGCCATTGACGCAGAATAGGTGAGAAAGGATTATTGGAATTCATTCCAATCTTGCCATGTGATGCAACGTCCTTTCCCGAGAAAAACATGAAGGAAGTCGCAGCGGAAAAGACAAACGCGGGCGGAGGCGGGACGGGAAGTCAATGAGGCAAACTGGGTGGCGCTAAAGCGGACGGGGGATTTGGAATGCATGCCGCTTACTTTCAAACCGCAGGCTTTAAACCCTGTAATCTCATTTTCCTCACATTGCATTAATGTGGGCTAATGTGCTGATCAAACAGGCTGATGGATTTAAGTGGTGGTGATAAAGGGAGCCGACCGCGGAGCTCCCCGCCATCGGGTATCATTGTTCACAATGGACCACAGTCGTTTCCCATGAACCCAATTCAGCAACAGCTGATCATTTAACGCCGATGCTACAAGCAGCATTCGAATCACATTGTGTGCAATGCAAATCATATATTAAAAAGGAACGGCTCTATAAAGAGGATCTCCAATCTATTGTTTGAGGCTATGCAAATCAATTACGCTTTGGCAAAGGCCGAAGGGCTGATTACAACATATGGAAATAACTGAGCGGGACTCGGCTGTGGGACGGTAGCTATTCTTTTTTTTTTGTTTGCGAGCTTTAGGATGTTTTCCAACATGGTGGCGAGCTGGTTACCACAGCGACAAAAAGTGATCCTTGGTCGGAAGGACAATGTGAGGGGACGGGGAGGACAGTCAAGAGGAGGAACACTCACACCCGGGGGACGTTAAGGGAGGCGGGGCGAGAGCGTGCAACGGGGAGAGGATGAAGGTGACTTTGAGCGATGGAGACTCAGATGTTTAAGGAGTTTAATGTCGATGAATAAAGGTTCTTTCTTCTGGCATATAGACTTTTATGCAGAGGGAGACAGTGGGAGAGACACAAAAAGAGAGGGAAAGGGTCAAAGACTGACGAGGTCAAAAGCGCCTTTCCTCAATTCGCTCCGATTCCGGCCGGCACACTCAGGGGCAGGGCAGGGCAGGGCAGCGAGATCAAAGTAAAATGCTAACAAAATTCATTTTAGCTTCAAAATAATAAAACAACAACGTGGAGCGACGCAGTGGGGCTCGTGACAGCTTGCTGAGGAGATGCGGATAACTAGGCCGGCTGTAGAGACTAACGAATGTTTCATTAAAAAGGCCTTTGGAGTTTTGTTTCAAAGATGAGATGATTATCTTTTCACTGTGCTTAATCCCCCCCCCCCCTGAAATTAAGTTATGAGCATTTCTTTCAATTACATTTTCTGGCCATGCCGTCCCCGAAGCCTCAGACAACTTTACCTCTTTGTGAGATTCCACTGGCAGATTGAAACTGAGCTAAATCAGTCAAATACACAATAAACAGGTAAGCGGATCACTGCAGCGCTCGGAGCATCGTGACTCCACAGGTTGTTCAACTATGAACACCGGGGACCTTTGCGAGTGTGTTTAAGGATTTGGTCTGCTCACAACACAGCTATGAAGCTCCATCAAGCCTGAAACAAACAGGTGAACTTGCGAGGGCGTTCAAAAGTCTACGATATAACGATTCATACTTTGACTAAGTCAGGCAAACGCAACGGCTTCACACGGAGATGTACGGTCAGCAGACGAGCTCTGATGTCATCAAAAAAACAGGTCAATATTCTTTAAAGAGCAGAAAAAGGCACATTGAAATGCAACACCGACAGTGTGTCACCGGCACACACGCTCATTAGACTCTGATAAACACACGGCCATTGATCACAGAATCGTTTGATGCCGCTTGGGCAAAGCACGGAGCCTGTGATAATCGCGCAGGCCATGAATTACGTTAAATTAGGGAGCTGAAGTGTGACATCATGGTTTTATTACAACATCAGGACGCCGAGGGCCTTGTTCACACGTGTGGTGCGGTTCCCTTGGGCAATCTAACACTTATATCAAAGTGCTTTTATAGACATTGGGAGACAAATAAAAACAGGAACAGAAAAAACAATAAAAGCAATTTGTGGCGGTTTATTAGACGGTGAAAAGACGATACATCCAGAATAGGCTGGATCAATCAAACAGTTAAGATAAATAGATAAAAGAGCAGGTAAAACTATTTTATTGCGGCACATTTTTAGGAACTTAGCCAGAACGTGTGGCCAGCTTTATTTGGTTTAAGGACTACAAGGTCATTCCGAACAAAAAGACACAGGTTTTATTCTGAAAATTTTTGAAAATAAGAAAGTTACTCGTCGGTTAGTTTACAGCTGGTTACTCTGCACATACGACGCCTGCAGCCGCGGCGCAGCTGGCCGCCCAGCGGAGTGACGTGGCTTCACACCAGTGCAATTAACAGAGTGTGACGTATTGCTGTCGGCGCCTCGTAAAGGCCTCAGTCAAAACGAATGCAATACGATGGCTGTCTAGTTCAGCAGCCCCGCGTTCACCGAGCCACTGTCAGACACGAACGCACATCCACTCTGTTTAAAATCGAACCCGAAGGCATCAGCGGGAGTAGTAGAAAATGGGCGGGCATGCGTCCATTTAAAACTGCCGTCGTCAAATATGCAAGCGTATAGCCTGGAAATTAATATTTGGCTATGAGATGCAATAGACAGATTAATCTGCACAAACATCCCCCGCCTGCCTCATCGTGACCAGCATCCAGTGCTTTGAGATGAGATTCTATTTTATGTAATATTGAAATGACTACTTGGAAATGACTCCTGTAGCAACGGCCGATCATCGCCCGATTGCACTGATGTGATCGTTGGATTACGATGACGGTGCCGGTGCAGATCAATCCCCTCGCGCCCCCAGGAGGAGCAGAAGTGTGCGCGGGGAAGGAGACGGCTCGGGATTGTGGCTGCATCCTCAGGAGCGACGTGAAAACTGCTAAACTAAAAGGCTCACGTCTAATCGAAGGCTCTGATCTTGGTTTAAACAGAGCAGACGATGTTCGGTTCGCTGCGTTGCAGCCAAAAGTGGGCCGCAATCACATTGTGCTCTAGATTGGGAGAATTTACTGGGAAAACCGGTGCGTGAGTGAGATAGAAATGTAGGTCGCTCCACCAGGCTGAGCAGATGCCAGTTCAGGGGTCAATGACACGAGGCCAAAACGTAGATGCTTAATACGATCAGAGGGGGAGTGTGGCAGTCAAACCACGTTAAGATTAAAAGAGCAGTAAGAAGGCGAAAGCAAACTGAGCGCTTTCATTGCGTTGAAGGGAGAATATATCAAATAAAAGCCAAGTTGGCAGCCTTTTCAAAGAAAAGAAGAAAAAGAATTCTGGTATTTTATTGCAGCGAATCACAAAAGGTTTTCACGGTAGTACGGCCTTCCAGGGATTATAACAGCAAGGTCGGCTTTAATGTGCCTCGTATGAAGCTTTGACGAGAACTAGCCAGGAATAGCAGAGGTGTGCTTGACTTGCGTGTCTCCCCGTTTCTCTGCCGCAGTGTGGAGCTGGACTTCAAGCAGCAGGAGGACAAGCTGCAGCCGCTGATGCTGAGGCTTGGCCCCGCGCCCGACGGCCACTTCGCCTCCCTGCCTTACCCACAGGAGGCGTTTACCTCCACCCCTAAGCGCAAGTCCAAAGCCGACTCCAAGAAGCACGCCCGCTGGAAACTTTGGTTCCTGTGAAGACGAGGAACCGCCTCCTTAACCGGCCCCCGACGCACAGGATTAATGCGTCCGCCTGGCTGGCCAAAGTTCATTTTATGTCCCCGTTTGGCTTCTGGCACACCTGGTCACTGACTGGACAGCGCCACGAGCGGACACTGAGAGTGCCCCGTCAGATGGATTCAGAGTTATTTTTGAACTAATTTCTTCAAACGGGGGCGTGAAATCGCACCAGCGCAACCCATTTGGAGATCAGCGGGGCGAAAGGACGAATCCGATTTGCCCTCGGCCTATTTGCATTATATTTTTCTAGCAGACGTCTGGGGGTGGGGGGGGCTGGGTTCCGATCTACGAAAGTGGCTGAGTAACCGTCACGTTTCCAGCCACCTTTTGGGACTCTCGTCTTTTCTTTCCAGCCATCCAGAAGAGGACGGCTTATCGGCCAGGATGCTCCAGAGGTCCACGTCGGCAGCATATCAACGCACCGCAAAGCACAATTCACACTGTTCAGGATTTTTCTCCAGAGTAATCAAAAACAACTATTTTGAGTATTAGCTCACAAATGTACACCGCCTACCAACTATGACAGAATGAAGACTTTCATAGTATCTAAAGAAGAAACCGAAAGGACAAAAGAAGCGATGTTTATTGGAATTCAACTTTCTATCTCTGAAATGTCTCCTTGAGTCAACTGACTTTGAAGTAAAATAAATGAATAAATAACACTTATTTTCTTAATAACATTTGCAAAGTTAGACGTCAATGTACTTTTTTCTATATAAATATCTATTTACATTTACTTTAAGGTTTAGTGGACTAATATATATATATGGGCTGCAGTGAAGGGGGTGTGCATTAGATAAAGTAGTACATAGAAGGACGACCTTTCATTAAACTACTAACCTCAAAGTGCATACAGTCATTGAAACCCAAACCACCCTGAAGTAAACAAGTCCAACCAAACCTCCTCAGTATAAAACTGTAGCAGTCTGGTCCACCAGAGAAAAACAAAAAACTTTGAAAAATCCTCTATTGTTTCTCTTCATGAAACCAAGTCCAACATGTAACGTTGGTCTGCAGGCACGTGTGACGGGCGACAGAAGATGGCTGTGATTGTATCGCTGCAGCATCCTGCATCAGCTGCTCTGTGAGCCACCGACACCGAGCCAGAGAGACTGAATGTGCCACTGCTGATCACAACCAGGGCTTCTAAAGTGCAGCAGGCGTGTAGCCTTGCATGCTTTTTACAACCCTTTGGACTTTGCAGGAGATTTTCTAGCTTTTGAAGTAAGATTTTTTTTTTTTAAAGAAGTGTTTTTCTTTTTTTTCGCCCCAACATCGCTTTCCGTCTATAAGATTGTGAAGTCAAACCTCTTGTTGTAACTCTACACAGGGTTGAGACACTATGTACAGCCAGGATGATATATTTGCGTTTATTCTATATTACTATATGTTGTATAGCATCAAATAGGGCTAATACCATATTAAATGAGTGGGGAGAAAACATTGTGTAAAAGAGCGCCTGCAGGACGTCCCTCTCAAAGCCAAAAAGCACTGCCGCAAAAAAACATAAGAAATGCGCCGAAGGGGTTTCAAGGCCATGAGAGACGCATCCTCCGCCACAGCGATACCGTGCTAACTACCGGACGTCACTGGTCTCACCTCGCTGCTTTCCGTTGGCTATGTGACTCTCACCCCATCTCTTGTAGGTTTCTTTCACTAGTTACGCTGTAGCATCAAAAGAGAACTAGATGTTTATCTGTACCTTAAAAGAAGTGCAATTGATTGAATATTTGCAATACTGTGTTTTTACACTGTTTTTAAAAAGACAACTCAAAATAAAAGGTATTTAATATGCAAATTTATGAAATGTAAAAAAAACACCCGATGAGCTCGTAACGTGTGGAGAGAGTGACTGTTGTTTGAGTAGCAAAGGAGATGAGCAACATCATAGAAGGCAAATATCAGTAATAAAATACAAAAAGGTGTAAAATACGGGGTTCTGAGCAGTGAAACATGTTTTTTTTAAATATACTTACAAAATGGAGCTTGGAGAATTGTTTCTGCCAGAGCAGAAAACAAAGCCCTCGCCCTATATGTGTGTGTGTGTGTGTGTGTGTGTGTGTGTGTGTGTGTGTGTGTGTGTGTGTGTGCGCGCGTGTTGTAATCAAGCATCTCTGTTCTTTGTTCGGATACAATGGCTCAACCGTCACCATTTTGAGAGGAAATAGAAGTGCCATCTTGCGAATAACACCTTTAAAAAAAGAATTGGCTCGCCCCAATTTACAATAACATAATTCCTTCACTTTGAAGGTATGCAGCAGTTAGCATCTTGAAATTACATCTGTTTATGGTTGTTTGGATGTCAGAATTGTTGCTGGAAATGGGTGCCTTGTGCCAACAAAACTAAAACTATATGCATGGCTTATAGTTAAATTCAGTATGCAAAAACAACCAACTTGACAATTACAGACACAAAAGCTGCAGACAAGAATGCGTATCGGCCTAAAATCTGCCCTGCAACTCTTCGATGTAGTTGGGTGGCACAATGTAGAGCGCAATACTACGGAGGGATAAGCAGCGAGCGGCTCTTGGTGCAGGGCAGTCAAGCTGCCCGAGAGCCTTCTGATCCAAAGCTTACGCTCACGGCACTTTGCCCGTAACGTCGGCGCTTAAATGCCGTCTGTGGGCCCTCAGACACGTCCGTGCGCTCCAACTGATGTTGGTGCAGACCAGCACGGAGATAACTGAGTAAATGCCCCCCAGGGATGCGGAGTCACCCTCTCACCCGGTGGAGGGCCGTCTTTATAGGGCTTCTCTCGACTGGATGTTAACAGCAGAGCACTGAGGGTCCGAAGAAGACCTCCAGGTTTCGGCTTCACATCTGGCATCCTCACACCCTTTGTGGTTTGAAGGTGACGAGCGTTTTTTTCCAGCATGCAAACGTCTGACACGCGTCGCAGGGTCGATATATACTCAAGAGGACACTCAGTCAAAGTTACAGGAGGGGAGATGTGCACAGAGTGAGTGATAAGTGCACGTTCAAGGAATTATGATTCAGCACCATATCTCACTATGCTTCTTTTCTGAGAGAGCTCTGCAGCAGTCTGGCCAGCAGGAGAAAGGGGGGGGGGGAGAAGCACGGAGCGCAAAATAGAAAAACAGACATAAAGAGACAGATAAAGAGCGTAAGTGATGCGCACACAGAGGAGCTGAGGGTAAAGGAGCAGATACTCATCTGCAAGATATTTGGTGAGTGAGTGCACGAGCTCTGGCCCTTAAAGTTGCTCAGTCCCGAGCAGTCAATCGATAGCACAGGTCCTTCCCCTGCGTCCGTTCTGCACACTGCAGGTAAATCGGGAGGATTCCCCGCAAAGCTCTGCAGCCGACTATCACCGCGGCCTGTTGGCGGTTAGTACTCAAAACTATAGGCTAACGTGACACTGGGAGTTGTTTCATTGGTTTGTATCTCCGGGGCTCATCCAGAGGCTGTGAACCGGCAGCATGATCAGATCGCCCGGACGCGACGTAAAGTACAGAGTTTGAGCTTCGCTTCTCGAGCTCCCACTCCGGGCAACACGACACTCCGCACACTCGTGCTGAAAGTTACGCGGATACTTAGAAATGTCAAGGCAATACAGTTCAGTGGCTAAAGGCGCTGACAAAGGCGTTATTATTAAGCGTTAAGACGTTCAAACAGGGGATGGTGTTCCCTGCTGCTCCCCACGAGGATGGTGCTGCACGCACACGCAATAAATAACCGGGACAGGGGGAGAAGAACTGCTAAGGCAGCTCGTAATAGCACCAACATAATCAGTCAGTATCGCACAACTCCTTATTCTCCAATACGAGCTTGAGGTCTCTCTTCACTTTACTAAAAGTACCTTTACGAGCCCTGAAGAGGGATTACAGACATAAAAAGTTGCATAACAACTCACTTTCAAATTCACATCACCAGATACACGCAGCTCTGATTTACACAAGTGTCAACAGGATGCAATATGACGGGCCAGAGAAACCCCGATTTGATATTTATGACGTGACCAATGCACAGGTTGACATTCATTGGACTCTTTGGACTCATGAAAATGGATGAAAGCTTTGCCAGCAGAAACAAGGCAGACAGAATGTTTATACAATGACGGATAAGTGCTTTAATTGCATCCGAGCTCCAGCCGAGAGAGTGATTGGAAGGAAGAACGCTGACGGCAGTGGGCGGGGGGGACGCGCTCTGTGTTACTAGATTACATCAGCGCACAGAGGATCAGATGTGTTGGGAGTAAAAAAATGTAATTAAAGAAACAGGCTAAAACACGTGTTAAAACAACAAGCAAAACATGCACACAGATGGGCGCACAAACAAACGTCTGGAGATCAAAGCAAGTCCTGGATCGAGGTTGTGAGAAAGCATTCAGCCGAGGTAGACTTTACCTTTAATGATAGCTTTGGAATGGAATTGGAGTTGCAGTGGGCCTGTGGGAGCTCGGCTGAAGCCTCTAAATTGGAGTGTACCAGTGTGTGTGTGTGTGTGTGTGTGTGTGTGAAAGATGACCAGAAGAAAACAGGAGAGCGAGTCGTAAGTGCACAGGTGAGAGTTGCAGGAAAGCAGACAAGCTTACAATGTGGGGGGACTCGCGGCCCATCGAAATGACCGTCCTGTTGACCGTCCTCAGCAGCTTCTCCATGACGATCTGCACGTGCCACTGGGTGGGACCCTGCAAAACAATACAGTCATTCTTTTTTTTTACATTGCCTTCTTTTTTTTTTACACTTCATTTTGAATGTCACTGCAAGATGGAGAGTCACGGAAGAACAGCAGCTCAATTTCCCGTGCCTGCTGGTCACGGAGGTTTTTTTGTGCTCTTCTGCGAAAGTCCGGAAATCTCTTTGTCTTAAACAATAGGTGTGACAGGTGCTAATACTGCCTATATATATGTATTTTGTGCTGAGAGACCAGATGACTGCTTCAGCCCACCTAAACCGTAGCTCCTGAAGCGCGATCATACGTGGGATGGTCTTTCCTTGTACCTGCTCGTTAGTGAGTTGGAGTGAGCACAGGACGTCTCACGTCTCCTCCACCAGTCTGTGGGAGGGAATCTACCGAGCAGGCCGAGCTCGGCGGCGCCAACCTCATCTTTCAATAATTTACACATCTCTGCACGCCGGTCTGTGCGCGCACACAGAATCACAGGGGAGCACTGGGGCGAATAAACAATCTGAGGAGGGAGTTTCAGATATCACCTTCCAACACAGTAAGTGTGACGCACATGTTTTGTCCGGGCATGTTAAAGACTTTCTGCCAGGGACAAGCAATACAAAGAAAAAAAGATATATGTAGAAAAATAGTAACTCAACGATGTTGAATGTTTTCTATCATCAATAAATAATAAAGTCACTATGAAATAACCACATGATAAAAGTATTAAATACTGTCTAATTCAGTCTAGAACTTAAGTGCAAAATGAACGAAATGAAGTAAAGTGAAGAAAAGGGCTTGTGTGAAGGCAGGAAATGATCAATAAAGTCGAATGAATCAGGCTGTGCTGAGCTGGCTTGAGGCTGGAAGGTTTCCAGTTTGGTAACCGCTTAGAACAGAGTGGTGAAAATGTAAATGTGAATATTCAAATCGAATCCTTTCACATTGGATTTTCTGTATAATACGAGTTTGCATGTGCTGGGCTTTATCAACTAAGATGATGGAATTGTGTAATGATGTTATCTCGGTACCTGGGAGGTGAGTCAAAACGTTATCTTAATAACATTAGGACATTTCATCCAAATGTATATATATGATTTACCCATGCCAATGTGAATCCATCGACAGATCAGAAAGTGACATATTGAATCACCTCCCTTATTCATTTCTCTTTCTACGTGTGCATTGGACTTCATGAAAGAGTTGTGGAGTGTGAATGGGAGAGAAAGTGGGAGATAATCCCAGGCAGAGTGGAGAGTGGGAGGCCGGCCCGCGGTGATCAATGGTGAGGGGAGGCAGAGACGGCCTGAGGGAGGCCAACAGGTGTCTGTGTATGAGAGAGGATGAAGCACACTGGGGAAGCAGCAGATAGTGTGTGTGTGTGTGTGTGTAGGGAAGGTGATCTTCAGCTCAAGACAGTTTTCAGTAGCAAACATCGTTGATTATTCCTCAAAATGGATCTGCAGAAGTCAACGTGATTTAATTCAGAGTATTCCTTATGTTCAGTGTACAATCTACAAGTGCATAAGAAATGAGGATGAGCCCACTGACTGACTGCCGGGTCACCATCTAACCTCAAAATAAAAGTACACAAACTAGAGCGCGGCGTCCCTCACCACATCCTTCCGGTAGAGCACCTCCAGGATGTCGCTGAGCAGCTGGCAGCAAGCCTTCGGCTCCTCACGCTTCTCCAGGTGGAACTTCAGCTGGTCCGTCATCAGCGGCAGGAGGATCTCGCGGCAATCTGCAGACACACAAGAAACGCAGCCAGTTAGTGCTGGCACACCTTTAGCAGCCCGCTCAACACGCGCGGCGGATGACGGGTCACAAGAGGCCGGCAAATGGCTTCCTTAAAACTGGGCTAAAATGAGTGAACATATTAATTAAACAGAATGCGGCAAAATCTCCTTTGGAATAGGTAAATTGCAAGAACGTCAATGAAATAAAAACGCCAATTAGAGCCAAAAATATTGTCAGAGCACAGCCAGTTAGTGCTGACACGACAAGTAAATGATTTACTTGTATAATAAACTGATATTTACATGCTGCTTTTTTTGCTGACCCACAATATTTTGTTCCCATAAACAACATTTCATCCAATATTAACAGCGCTTAGCACAAAGAAACAGGGAGAACATTTATTTTATTGTTTCGGTTGTGTGGTT